GGTCGGCAACGCTCGAATATTCATGCGGCGTTTTTCCTCAGCACGGCAGCAGCCTATAACTTTCAGATGGAGGGGATTGGATGCAGAAAAATGGCAGGCGGGATAGGTCTGGGCGGACATGGAAGTGTCATCTTGAAAAAAAGGAGGGATTGATCATCTGCACCACCAAAATTTAGAATAATTAGCGAGCAAAATGTTATATTTTTAGGTCTGGAGAGTTGAGACTCGCGATTGCTAGACGGAATTCATATTTGTCTGACAAAGCACATAAATCATGAACCACCGGGTGACGGCGGGAATGAAGAGGGTCGTTGCGTATGGGGAGGGGGGGCGGAGGAAAAAGTTGATGCTCCTCGTAGTTCGATTTAGAATTCTCGGTAAGGGACCGGAGGATTCTTTCTGTCTCCTCTTTAAAAGAGAGAGAGGAGAGAAGAAAGAAATTCTCTGTCGAAAGTGAGCGGAGGACAAATTGGGTGGGTGAGCCAAAATAACCGAAGTGGCTCAGGGAGAATCGAAGGCACGTTCAGTGAAGGAAAAAAGATTTTCACGATTAGACACCATCCTCATGATAATTTTTCCCCTAAACAATCTTTTATTGATGGAATCTCATAATGTGGCCACCCCCTTACCTAATCCGGCCCTGATGTTAATTCCGAAAATGTGCTGTCTACTACGCGGTAAAAAGTCAGCGTAACAGACAGCACATTTTCGGCCATTAATATATTAAAATTGAAAAGTAGAGCGACAAATCTTTGAAAAGCGTTATAACACGTTACCCTGTGTACTGTGTTGTGTGTGTAGATTAATGCAATAAAATTCGAGTGATTAACATTACTACTAAAAATATGACCGAAAAAAGTGTTGTCTGTTACAGCGACAAAACTATTCCAGTTATCGTAAAACCACCCGAGAGATATACACTCTGTGCGCATTTGTGCAACTAATCGTGCGTAGTAGATATGTTTGCAGTAGAAACGAAGAATTGAGGCGTTCTGTCATTTAGGATTCTCGCGGTATCGCGGTATAGCCAGCTTCCGCGTCACGTAGAATGGTGAGTGCCGAGAGAGTCAAAACGCCTTAACTTCCGTGCTTATGCAACACGGACATCCGTGAAGCTCGAATAGTTGTTGGTATCCAGGTGTTGTGATAAAATTCGCTTGGTGTAGTGGTGTTCATTCGTTTGACAGTTTATCCCACTCCTTGATTTTATTCCAACGTCGTCCTTTACGCCCATGAAGTGAACTATTACTGAATTTTATAGTAATATCGATTGCCCGAAAAATGCTCCAATTGTTTTAATGTATTACGACGTTGTACCCTTTTTAAGCGTTTAAAAGAAGTCCAGTCAGAAAAATACATTAACCTACTGTCAGTTCAGAACCTGGCGAGGCAGGACCCGAAGCTCGAAGATAAAACGTCCTTTTACGTCAAATCTTCATCCGCACTTTTTGCGGTTTGGGCTTTTAGAATTTCACCCATAAAATTCTACTGATAATTATTCAGCTGTGAAAGTTTTTTTTCCTAAAATCACAGAAATCTTTATCCTTAATACCCTTAAATCGTTAATTGTGCTGCCAGTAGTCAGTGGTGTCAGTAGCCATGTTTGTAGACGAGCAACTCGTCAAGTTTGAAATTGGGGGGGTGACTTTTTTTTTTTTTTTTTTTTTTTTTTTTTTTTTTTTTTTTTTTTTTTTTTTTTTTTTTTTTT